AATGATGTCCATGTGATAATTCCATTTACGTTGTTGTTGTTGTTATTGGTGTTGTTGCTATTGTTGATGGTGTTGTTTTCGATGGTGGCGTTGAAGATAAAATAGTTACCCTAATGACAATTTTCTATATCTAAACATCAAAACTGCTTCAAATTCAAAATTAACGCAAACATCTCTTAAAGCTACGCTTATTTTTCTCGCGGGACACATTAAAATCGAACACATAATAACAACTATTGAAAACGCGGCACATACTCAACATTGGTTCGTGTACGCCATAGTTGGTCCTCGAACGCCGGTTGTTGAAGAACGCATGCAGCCGGAGGTCCCGTCGTTGAGTGTTGATGTCAAGAAGACTGAGAAGTGTGGAGCAGTCGACGTTCCCTTGCAGAAGATCCGCAACGAAACAAGCCTTCGCCACATTACGCCTTCCTTCCAAGAGCTCCAGGTCGATGAGGTTACAGCGACTTTCATAGCTCGGCAAGTTACGCGGGTCGCGCCAACGAAGGTGTCGCAACGCAAAGCGAATAAATTTTCGCTGAACAGCTTCAATTCTATGGATGGCATTCTGATAGAATGGCGACCAAACAACGGCAGAGTATTCCAGTATAGGTCGAACCAGGGAACGGTATAAAGCCTTCAGGCAATACACGTCCTTGAAGCTTTTGGCGAAACGGAATAAAAATCCTAGCTGCGATGAAGCTTTAGATACAACATAAGCAATGTGATCCTTGAACGTTAATTTGCAATCGAGCATGACTCCCAAGTCCTTGACAGTCGATTCGCGTTTCAAGCTTATTCCTCTTAAGGTGTAATCGTGGAAATGCATCGCCCGTTTACGGCCAAAGGAGATGACCGAGCACTTGGACACATTTAAAGACATCCTGTTTATCCGGCACCAATCATCAAAGACTTCAAGTTCTTGGTGGAGGAAATGAGCGTCTTGAGGCCCTTTTATTACGTAGTAGAGCTTCATGTCGTCGGCGTACGATAGTTTAAGGCATTTGAGGATCAAGTTCACGTCGTTTATATACAACAGGAAAAGCAATGGCCCCAGGTGGCTGCCTTGAGGAACACCAGATGTAACAATGAAGGGTGGAGAAGCGTAGTCACCGATCTTAACAGACATAGATCTGCCAGTCAGATAGGAGCGAAGCCAGGTAAGTAGACTCCCATAAACACCCATTTTGTCATATTTAGAGATGGTAATTTCATGGTTCACTCTATCGAAAGCTGCAGAGAGGTCGGTGTGGTCGACTTAGTTTTTGCCAATTCTTCCATTTGCGACATTATATCGCATACTAGGCTGGCATTTGATTTCGTCAAGTCATTCTTGGGTGTAGAAATTAATTGCGGTAGTTGGTTTATTGAGTGCGATGTTGTTTTTATTATTGCTGCTACTGCTGATGTTGCCGCTGATTTCAGTGCCGCTTCCACCGCTGTGAAAGTGTCCGAAGATGTGTCCAAATGTGATGATACGGCATGTTTCATTTCCGCAGCAAAAAGTTTATTGCTGCTGGCGACGTTCAATATCAATATGCTGTACTTAATGTCATTTAGCATTTTTTCTATATGCTCAAACGCATCGTCGTGGGTCGTACTGAGACTTTTGATATTTTGTTGCAGTTTGTGGTTTGCTTCTAGTGAATTTCCAATGTTTTCCGAGATGCAATTTAAGGATTTAGTCAGTGCCTTCATGTTAAATTCAGTTATTATCTGATCCTGACAGTTCTGACAGAGGGGTAAAGCTCGATTCAAAGTAAATCTGGACGCACGGTTTAATACACCACCGCGCCCCTGGTGGTTGGAACAAAAAAAATGTTTGACAGGCATTTGTTGATGTTCCATTGACGAAGAAATTGGTGAGAAGTTTTTCTCGATTGATCGACGCATCCCGAATTTACGGATCATGGAACTTGAGAAAAGAAAATTAATTGTGCACAAACATCTAGAGAACCCTTCGTGGTCTGCCTCAAAAATAGCAAAAGTGTTAAAATTCCCAAAGTCAACGGTGAGTCTTGTAATCAAACGTTACAAGGATACTCTGAGTGTGGATAGAGCACAGCGCATTTATCATAAAAGTAGCACTAGGGACAAAGAGCTGAGGAGAAAGGTGTTAAGGTACGTGAAAAGCAACCCAGGTGTCTCCATACGTGATTTGGCAAAGAAATACGATTCCAAAATTTCCATCGTGCGTAACATCCTTTCAAGAGAAGTAAAGCGAGCACGATTACTATACGAACGAGTTTTGACGAAATTTGATGGCTGTATTTTAATGGCTGACGAAACATATGTCAAAATGGATTATAAACAATTCCCCGGACGAAAATTTTACCTGGCAACTGGTCGTGGGGATGTTCCTTTCTGGTATAAATTTGTTTTTGCTGATAAGTTTGCTAGGAAACTAATGATTTGGCAAGGAATCTGCAGTTGTGGCTTTAAAACCAAGGTTTTCATCACACATTGGCGTCGAAGGTTTACATTAAAGAGTGTTTGAAAAAGCGGATTTTACCCTTCATTCGGCAACACAAGACCAACGTTATGTTTTGGCCGGATCTAGCCAGCTGCCACTACTCTGAGGAGATACTAGAATGGTATGCTGCAAACAATATTAATTTCGTCGCCAAAGAGATTAATCCTCCGAATTACCCTGAGTTCAGACCGATCGAAAAATATTGGACAATTGTCAAGCGAAAACTTCAAGGATGCCGTAAAGAAGTGACAAATGGACAACAAATGCGTTTAAAGTGGAATAAGTTCGCCGGTACAGTGGCACCCGCGACTGTGATGGCATCGATCACAAGTAAAGTGCAACAGTTCGTTCGAAACGGTGAAATGTAATAATTTCTTATATATCGTTTGAAAGCTGAATAAATACCCTTTTGTTTGATGTTTTGATCAACCGTGTATGTTGTTTAATTCTTGAGTTATGATCACTTGAATGTGTCCAAATTTACTTTGAATCGGGCTTTAACATGAAGGTCCACAAAATGTCTTCATGATTCTTCTGTGCGCCTACGCAAGCTGCGTGGAATGTCCGGTTGCAGGTTCCATGGCAGCGCCATAGGAAGCGATTGTCGCTCTGCACACAGCATATAATTCCGCACTTCATTACACTCGCGTCGAAAAAGATACTTAAAAGTGTTTACGCGGGGCTCACGCGCGGGTCAGTTAATAATAATTGAAAAAAGTTTAATTTAAAAAAATATACAAGAGCGCTGCAAAAGCGCGCCTGAATGCAAAGGTGGTTCGTAGTGGATTGAAGACGGTGTCAATTGTCTTTTAAAATCTCTGTTGGCAATTGCATGAAGATTTTGTGAAGAAAGGAAATAGAATTCGGAAGAGAAATCATAGAAAATTCTTAAGATTAATGCTAATACGACTCGTGAGAATAATTTCAATGGAATTCTGTCCAATTTTTCTATGGAGATTAATTTTTTATAAAATTTTAAGAAATCTTTCAATTTCAAGTCCATTTTGATGACTTGAAAATGACTTTCAAGGCCATTTTGGACAAGTACTGAAGAGGCAAATACTGAAGAAGATTTCAAAACAATTCTGACCTTACCTACAAAGCAGTTCTAAAGCGAACTATAGGATTAGTCTGAGAAGCGTGTGACGGTCATCCTGAATAGTTTACCAACAAAATTATTAAGAATATTCTAACAGAATTTCATTGAGAAAAATCGAGTCAAAATTATTGGGAATTATTATCAGTTTGAGGAAATTATGGAATGGTAGAGTGATTTCTTAGAGACTACAAGAGATAATCCGTACCAAGAGAGAATCATAAACTTTCTGGAACATTGAATAACTTCCAGATGATTATACCTACCTATTTTTACAGGAGATTGGCACATCAATTTGATTTCAAAAAAATTATGTTAAAAAGAGGATTTTTTACAGCATTCCAGATTTTTCCAGATTTTATATTTTAATTGATTGACTTTTCTAAACAATGTCTTGGCAACGCTGGCCGTTATGGAAGTTTCGGTTGCGTTCCGGTGTAAAGCCAAGATCTTGAAACTCAATCTCACCACAGCTTGGTGAGAGTTGCAGCTGGTGAGTTTTGTTAGCTTGATTTTCCAAGCTGCGATATCACAGCTTGCAATTTCAACCGCAGTTGTTTGCTTGTTGATTTTAGTCTACGGAAATCATGTGTGATCTTGTTCTTTGGTGAGATTCGATTTTTTTTAATTTTTCAACACTGGTAAGACGTTCTTACGAATATCGATCATGAAGGCATAGTCATTATCATCTGCAAACAGAATGATTCGCATTTGATATAAGGAAGCTGTAGCGTTTGCTTCTGTTGTCATTCGAAATCGAAACGCTGACATTACAGAGCGCTCTGAATGATGGTTCATTTGATATTTGACATATATTTTCGTTCAATGTAGTGGCTTATTGAACGATAGTCATGAGTCAGTCACGCCTCTCGTTTCTTTTTCGACAACAATAAAGAGTGCGAGCGAGATGCAAAACTCAAAATTACCCAAAGTTAAGTTAAAAGAACTCAATCTTTGGGTAATTTTATATCTCTGTGTACTATTTGAAAACCGTGTACATTGCCAATTGGTACAAACACGTATGTATTCAAAATTTCCAAGTGTCGATTTAAATAAATATATTCATATCAGAAACGTGACTGGACTTAAAGGTGCCCATATTGGCACATTATAATGAACTATGGAATCAATTCATGGTGATTATGCATACCCCAACTAATGCTACTTCCATCCCTGAAACACAACACTATCGAAGCTCTGCACTGGACACTGGACAGAAAGCAGCATGGACAGCTCTTGACCCAGTCCCATCCCCGTAGCGCCCTGCAGCGGTGAGGTCTTCTAATTGTATAATGACCGTACCACCGCTCGGCCAGTCAAACAACTTATGATTGAGCACAATTTGCATATGAATCGACCCGAGCTTCTTCTTACCGACATGACCCCCACCCCCCAACGGGCATTACATACCGACGCTTTGTAGGCATTTACCTTCCAACGGCCACTCCGCAACCGACCAGAATGATAAGCAGCGCCGACGCTCCGATGATGTACTTCTTGGCGTTCTTCATGGTTATTATTCTTCTTCTTCTTCTCGTCACAAATCAGCACAAACAAATTCACAACCTCCGGTCAGTTTCAGTTTCAGAATTCCACACCGTAATTATCGTACACTTTGTAGTCACTCCACATTCACGACCGTCGTAACGTCGTAGCGGACTGTCCCTTGTCCCTTTTGCTGGAAGGTCACCACCCAGCGAGGACACGTGTCGCTCGTAAAGTTTGTTGAGTTGATCCTCGTTGGCGCTCATATAACACACCATAAATTTCACTCAATTTTCGTTCTGCTGCCACGGCGTTGTTTCGGAGAGTAAACGATCCTCCAACGGTCGCTTTTATTTACTTTTTAGGGCAGGTCACGCTCTCCCGGAACAGCAATAATATTTCGCAAAGTTCCGCGACTAGTGTCACACTGACCGACGCCGATGACCGCGATGCCAAAGCTTCCAAGAGGGACTGAAGGGGGCGAAATTGGAGCACTGTTTCTTCCTTTCGGTGTAGAACGAAGAAGAAAATGCGATAAAGTAGGTGAATACATTCACACACACACACACGCCCACCAGCCAGTCAACCGGGAAGGGAGCGGGGGCTCGTCGGGTGTCGGCTCAGGAGGACTAAGGTTTTCTGGTTTGATGCTATGCTGCGGCAGTGAGTTCCAACAGCTGCCCACGACACCGCCTAGGACAGGACTGAATACTGAATCAATGCGAAGTGTTTGCGGATGGTCAAGCTCTAGTGGTGGAGGAGATTACACTGTGTAGTCGTTGTCGTGGCCGAGGGTGCTGTTGTACAATATAACCTCCTTGACTTGTGGGGGTTTGTTTTTGTATTTCGGAAGATTGTTCGAAGAATGGTGGGCCCCCGAGGAAGGGAAGTAAATCTCGCCACTGCGTCTTGACAATTATTATCGCGCTGCCAAGAAGGGATGGTTTGATAGGTGTGTTCTCTGTAGAAGTTTGGAAGTGCTGGTTCGATGTGGCTAATGGTGTGTAACGGTGTAACGTTAGGCGAAGCTATTTTATTCACTTTTGATAAATTACATAAAATTAGAGACCTACCAATGTTGAAGGATCAGAATGATCTTATAAAATACGCCAATAATACATTTGAAATGCATAATGACAAATATAGTAAACTCTCCATGATTCCGTATTTCACTCGTTGGGCTAAACCTGTAGCCCACTTAGTGAAATAGTTGGGCTGAGCTGTCAGCTGAAAATTGGTTAAGGTTGCCGATTGTTTATTATCATCGTAATCCTTTAGCAACTATCCAAATTGTTCAAACATGAGCCCCTCGAAAAAGAAAAAGCACTGTCAAAAATGACGTTTGACTTCGATTTAGGTGGGCTACAGCCCAACTAACGGGAGCCCAACTTTACGAAATTTGACTGTATCGACTTATAGAATATTTGTTTTGTTTAGATTGTCTTTAATTTCAAGAACAATACCGAAATACTGCATTTACTGGAATATCTGGGCTTATTTACTCATATGAATTTAAAAAATGGTTCAAGGTGTTAGGTGTACAACACTGCTACCTATTGCCCCTACTTTCTACAGGCACTACTGTGCTGTGGTACTGCCAACTGAAGTGACAAAATCAATCATTCCAACTCTGTAACTAAAGTGAATAAACACGTTTTTCTTTTTGTGACCTGGTAAAACGTTTTCTTGTGATTTCTCTGCTGCGGCCTTTCCATAACTCTGTTAGGTAATGGGCCCAGAGTATTCTGGACTTCTTGTGTAAAAGTGAAATATTGTTTCTACGATGGAGGAAGACGGAAAAACGGAGCGTGCGTACATGTTCGATGGCAGTAACTACATGGCCTGGAAGTTCCTCACGCAGGTGCTGCTCGAGGAGCACGATCTGTTCGCTCGTCTGGAAAAGAATGCCGAGGAAGTAGAAGAACTGCAAGAGCTGCCGAATGACACGCAGGCGAAGAAGGACGAGAAGCAAAAGTTGAGGCCATTGCAGAGCAAGCAGGATAGAAAATGCAAATCGATGCTTATCTGCCCGCTACATCCATTGAACAGCCCTCAACACCGCAATCATCGAAGCGACCCATCAGCCAGCTAGACCCTTCTGGTCACCCCCCTCGCATAGCCCAAGCTCTCAAAATCTAAAGATCGACTCTCGCCCGTACCTCGCCAGTCTCTCCGGAAAAAGCCACGCAAATGAAAGAAAAGTGGAAGTAGTACGTTATCCGCTGACTACTTTCAACGTACCCTCGACCCTCGCTATTCACCTTGACAACTCTAATGGTCACCTCAACACCTCCATCAACTGCCAGCCACCGTCAACTGTATCTGTGTTTGGCCTCGGGTAGCCGGGGCACCGTTGAACCGGAAGCTATACCCCAACCGGAATCTTCGGACAACCCTCGGCGCCCGAGCCAACCAGTCGAATTAATGAGTGCTTCGGGCACGCAGGGCACTGGCAGTGCGGACGTCATAACCCCACCGGAACTGCCGGATCACCTCTGCGGCCCGCCGACGAAGAAACAAAAGAAGAGCCCAGCGATAGCCTCCGGTAGTTGGGGCCCCGTCGGTGCGGACGCCATTTCCACACCGGAACTGACGATAACCCCCCTTCGCCGGGGGATGTCTGGAAGAGGGACGCACAAGGGCGGAAACGCTCATCCCCCTATGGACGACGAGGGAGTCAAGTCTGCTTCAAGTATCGGGACGGACAAGGGCTCATCGACCCATTCCCCGAAGGACTTCGAGGGACTCGAACACGCTGCTATAACAACGACCGAAGCTACCAAACCCAGTACGCTACCATGTAATACCTCTTCTCTCTCTGTTGGGTCATCCCTGCCCTGGGTGGGTGGAACTTCTACACCTGCCCTTGGTGGGGTCCTGTCTCATTCAGCATACAACATCAATCTGTCTGCTAGCTCCGACTATCACGATGGATCGGACACCTACGATATAGATCTACCCGTCGACCAGAGTGGCAGTCACCGTCGCGATGACACTAGCTCCACAATCACAGCGCGCGTACCCCACTCCTGCCTTGCCTAAGCCAGAAAACTTCATCCTGCAGTGGAACATTAACGGGTTCCTGAACCACATTGGTGATCTAGAGCTCCGTTGCCACGACGATCCCCCCTGGGTCATTGCACTCCAGGAAACTAACAAAGCGACAACAGACCAAATGAACCGCTATCTAGGCGGTAAGTATACGTGGACAGCTAAACGGGGAAACAACTTCCGGCACTCCGTGGCCATCGGAGTTTTGAAGACGATACCTTTCCAGGTTGTCGATATGGACTCCGAGCTTCCCATACTTGGTGTCCAGCTGGCGGCACCGGCGAACATCTCCGTCGTATGTGCATACCTGCCATGCGGACGGCTGTCAAACCTGCACGATCAACTCAGCGAAGCCATAGCTAAACTACCGGAACCGCGCATCCTGGTTGGGGATCTGAACGGGCACCACCCAATCTAGGGTTGCCCCCGCTCCGACCCTCGAGGTGTTACTCTGGTCGATATTTTCGAGAAGGAAGACATGGTGATTCTGAATGACGGTATGCCACGTACTTTAACGGACGGCATACTTCTGCCATCGACGTCTCTGCTGTCAGCCGCTGCTTTGCCGGAAAAACTCAGTGGAGCGCGAAGACGGATCTCTATGGTAGTGACCACTACCCCATCAAAGTTCATCTTTCGACCGCCATCTTCCCGATGACAACATGGAGGCCCCGATGGCGCTATGAACAAGCGGACTGGGATAGCTATGGTGAAGCCTTTCAGTCCTTGTTACTACAGCGTAATCCGAACAGCATCGAAGACTTTTCAGAAGTGGTATACGAAGCAGCAACAGCAACCATCCTAAAGGGTGTCCACGATGAAATTGCCACACACAAAATTGATTCGCAAAATTCGAGTTTTCATCCGATTGCCATAAAATTTTCAGGGATTGAGAAAAAACTATTAAACTTCATTTTACCATTTTACTCGTATTTTATTTACAGTCCATACGCAAATGCCCGAACCTTGGCCTTAACCCCGGCCATAAGATTCTGCACAACCTGTGAATCAACCGTTTTTTGCATGTAAACCCATACTTTCTTCAGTTCCTCGACTGTCTTCACTACCTTAGGTCGTTTAAGAAGGTGCTGCTTCATAATCGCCCAGTACTTCTCGATGGGGCGGAGCTCCGGAGTGTTGGGAGGGTTGAACATTTTCGGCACGAAATTGACCTTATTATCCGCATACCACTTCAGCACGTCCTTGGAGTAGTGGCATGAGGCCAAATCCGGCCAGAATATTGTTGGGACGTTGTGGGCCTTCAGGAGAGGAAGCAGCCGCTTCTGGAGGCACTCTTTTATGTACACCTGTCCGTTCATCGTGTCCTGGGTCACGAAAGGTGCACTCCGCTTCCCGCACGTGCAGATGGCTTGCCAAACCAGGAATTTCTTCGCAAATTTGGACATCTTCTGAGTGCGGACATGCTCCGGAACGCTGAACTTATCCTTGGCCGTGAAAAACAGGTTGCCGGGGATCTGTTTGAAGTCGGCCTTCACATATGTTTCGTCGTTCATGATGAAGCATTCAACTTTCGTCAGCATGTTGAGGTACAACTTCCTGGCACGGGTTTTGGCGGACTTGTTCTGCTTCTCGTCGCGATTAGGGGCCTTTTGTACCTTGAACGTTCGAAGCCCAGCCTTAGTTTTGGCCTTCTGGACAAAACTTCGGCTTAGGTGCAGCTTCTTAGCCACATCCCTAACGGAGGCGTTCGGATTTCGGTTGAAGGCCCCAACTACGCGGTTGTGATTTTTGGTGTTGTACGGAATACTTTTTCCTTCACTTCTGGGCTTCCGATCGGTGGTCAACCGTTCCTCGAACCGCTTAATCACTCGCGACACCGTGGAATTCGCGATTCCCAACGTTTTAGCGATGGAACGATGCGAGAGATCCTTGTTCTCGTGATGAATGCGCAAGATTTTATCACGCACGAGCTGTTCTTTCGACTCCATTTCCGCGAGTTTTGATCACAGGATTTTAAAACTTGCAGGATGTAAATAATGCACTATGAACTAAATCCACCCAAATTTTCATTAAATTCTACCCAACGGTTAAAAAGTTAGAGCAATTTCATAGTGTTGCAATTTCATCGTGGACACCCTTTAAAGACCAGCAGCGTTCCGGGGTGAAAAGCGCTACGCTGGTGGAATGAAGATACGAGGAAAGCCGTTAAAGCCCGGTGTAAAGCACTTCGCCGTGTAAAGCGCCTTCCTATCGGACATCCCGACCGCGAGGACGCTCTCAGTCACTACCATGAGTCGCACAATCAATGCCGGCAAGAAATCCGTGTCGCCAAACGAACCAGCTGGATGGACTTTCTGGAAGGAATGAATTCGTCACAGTCTTCGGCCGAATTATGGAGGCAAGTCAACGCCCTCAGTGGGAAACGGCGCATGACACC